GGGAAGAGGAGGTGAGGAGGAGGAGGAGGCGGGGCATACCTTTCTCTCTGTCTCTCCCTTCCTGCTCCTCAAGAGCTGCGCTCTAATTCGGCATTAGGGGAAGTTGTAAACTCTTCATTTTTTAATGCACAGCTCTTGGGCGCCTGTTTCTGCGTATAGCGGTATCGGCGTCGCCGTCGGCGTAACTGCGCGCGTTGCATTATGGGACGTTACAGACCTATACACCAACTCAATTCCCCGTTAAATTTAGCTACGAAACTGAATTGGTGTGTAGGTCTCTAATGTCCCATAATGCAACACCGCACATTCAATTTCCCCGCTAAATTTAGCTACAAAACTGACGTCGCATGACCTCAACACAAATTCAGTTTCACGGCTAAATTTAGCGGGGAATTGAATTGGTGTTGAGGTCACATGGCGTCAGTCTTCCCGCTAAATTTAGCGGTGAAACTGAATTGGTGCTGAGGTCACGTGACGTAAATTTTCCCGCTAAATCCAGTGGGAAAACTGAATTGGTTCATAGGTGCCGTGATATAAAGTCATGTGAAACTATTTTCGACGCTAAATTTAGTGGCGAAACTTAATAATCGTCCCAGAAGAAGCCGAACAGGCTTCGAAACTTTGGGCCCCTGATTTAGGGATTGGTTGGTCGTTTTATTTTAATAATAAGCTCTTGAGGTATGTTAATATTGTCATGTACCGTGGTCGAGAATTCGACAGAGGAATATATATATATATGATTTTTTCTTGGGGGGGGGGGGGGGGGGGGGGGTAGGCCAGGGAGGACGAGGAGTGTACGGTGGGAGCCCCATAATGCAACGCGCGCGGTGTTTGTTTCAGCGTGAAGTGTTTGGCTAGTTGCTCCGGATTTTGTGAAGCCGCCTCTCGTAAAGCCGTGGCCTGTGACGTCACATGACTTCACAGGTTTCCAGCTATATTTAGCTGAAAAAGTGACGCCACGTGACCTCAACATCAATTAAGTTTCGCCGCTAAATTTAACGATGAAAATGGCGTCACATGATTTCGTGTCACGTCACCTATGAACAACTTCTGAAGAAGCCGAACAGGCTTTGAAACGTTGGGCCCCTGATTTAGGGACCGGTTGGTCGTCTTATTTTAATTATAAGTCCGCCAAGCAGAAAGACTTCGGTCTAATGTTTACTTTCAAACTTCAAGAGCTACGCTTTAATTTCGCATTACAGAGAAGCGTAAACGTCTCTAATATTTGTTTTAACTTTTATTTCTTTAAACAACGTCTCCCCATCCTTTGTTTTTTCGTCCGGCTCGCTCCGTCTCCGCTTTGCGGCGATTCGGCCCGCGACAGCAAAAGGTTCTGCTCTAGTCAAAATTAATTTTCAAGTTACCAAGATACCACCAAAACTACCTACTGTAAACGGCCTCAAATTCGCGAGGACCTAATTTTCGCAAATCCCCTACAATTCGAGAAAAGTAGGTCCCGCGAACAATTCCCGTAAGATGTAAACACATTGGTATCTAGATTGAGATCCCACGGCGTCGCAAAAATTAGAACCCGCGAATTATTCCAAAACTTCAACTTTGACTTAAATCGTGAAATTTCGAGCCCGCAAACAGTAAGTCGTTTACAATATTTGAAATGCGGTCTCTTAAGTTGAACATTTAAGATAGGCACAAGATAGTGTAGTGTTTGTTATAGACTGTAGTAAGTTAGTAAGAAAAACAACTGATGCGGTATAATAAAGTGTTTGTTAACACCCTGTTAAAAAAAAAACGCAATATCAACGGCCGCTTTGTTTTGTCGCGCGTCGGAACTAAATGGAGCAGACGGGTTATTTTTGCCTCGACGACGGGGGACTCACTGAACCGTAAAAATGGTTGCCTCGTGAACGTCTAATGTTTGTGTTGTAAGTGTTTTTTCGTTGCTTTTTTTGCTGCTTTGTTACGTCACAGTGGGAGGGAGGAGATAATGGGAGCATTTTTCGTAAGAGGGCCTTGGCCGTTGACGATGCAATCTTGCCTCCATTACGTTATTACAGAGTGTCTGGACCTGTTTCAAAATCGGGCCCCGACATGGAGTACGGGGCGAGGGCTTGTTGGCTGTGTGTACATAGAAGCGTCAAGAATGTTTTTGTGGCAACTTTTTTTTTCACTTTTCATATGGTTAAACAGGTTAATTTACAATGCCATCTTCCCGCAGATAAGAGCGGAGGCTTAATCCTGGCTCACACATTTGCGTCTTCGTGCGACCGGGTGCGTTGTGCCCGCTTGTACCCGCTAACGACTAACACCACCACGTTATCTATCAACCTTCAAGACCTTCCATCTGCTTATAACTAGACCGCATTTTGCCGGATATGCGAAATCTATTTCACTCACTATTTATGATATATGGTCTCTCGCAACATTGCCAGAATTCACTCAAGCACGCAATATACCTCGATCCGCAAAAAAAAAAAAAAAAAAAGGTAAATATATTTGCAGATAGAACGCGTACCAGGGCCAGCTCACAGATGGCGCTAGCGAGCCAGCGTGTTATTTCTTCGTAAGTGGTCGCAAGCGGAAACGACGCGGGTGGTCATACTCAAGCGCAAATGCATGAACCAGCCTTTAAACATCGAGTATATTGCTGTTTTGCTCCAAAACTTGCATGGGTGTGCAAGGTGCGCTGTATGTTCTCGTACGGCGGCGGACTTTGTTAGCGGTAATACGCGGACATTCGAAGTACCCGACGTTCCATATCGTCGGCGCGACCTGGCAGGCGCTCGTTGAGGCACTCTGGGCGTTCGCTGCGGCCAAAAGCGTGTTTTTTTTTTTTTTTCAGATTTGGACAACAACACTGTTTCTTGCGAGGTATTTTCAGGAGAGCTGCTATGCGGTGCTGGCAGTATAATGAAATGACATATATTCGCATGTTAATTCTAACCAAGGCAAGAATCTTCCCGCACAATTGTGTGCCATGATGGCCTCTAGCCCACTACTGCACGTAAGCAATTACGGTAACACGTCTATTTTCTAGGCATGTACAGTTGATATAACTCCAAGTGTTTGATTAAAAATAAAATGGACCTAATGGGAAGTCCTGTGTTTGTAAGTATGCTCGTGGAAATAGTGATGACCACCTTCATTCTTTCTTCTATTTCTGAATGTTATTATTCGATGACTGAACTGGCATCGTGAGCTGCCTGAACACAACGTTACTACGATCAAGTTTTAGAGTATATTTTAAAAGCATAAACATTCGTATTTGAAGTGTCTGATTGACCGTCCTTGTGTTATATTGGTATTTATGAATACCTTAAGCAGGGATCCCACTGCTTATACATCATACAATAGGCAGTCTGCACACAAATTCGAATGCAAGTTACTCCAAGTTTCGTGCTTGAAATGTCGCATGGCAATCAGTTCAAGGAGAAGCTTGGCACGCGGCATTCGAACCACGGATATAGCGATGTCTCGTGTTTGCAGACTGTCCTTTGCATGATGTATGAGCAGTGTGACCCCTGCTTTAAGGTAGGCAGCGTGCCTCTTTGTATACATGTAATCGGCGACAGACTAACATACCTACCCTTTGTCTCAAATGGCTTTGACTAGCCCACCGGTAACTCGTTCGGCAATGACGAGTTTGGTAACGATGTGTCACACTTTTGGCGCAAGTTTATTCAATCTATTGCTGACAATGCAGCGAAGCCTGTAAAAACAAGCTTTTCTCTTTGATCGGCGTTTTTTTTTGTTTTTTTTTTTTGTTTTTAGGCCGGGGAGGGGCAAAAGAAAAAACAACTACCCTAGCATTCGCTTAGCCGTCTACAGCACAATTTTAAAATGCTTGTTGTCCCCTGTTTTGTTCAATTAAGAGAACAATATGAGTATGACTTGTCTTTAGAACACCTGGGTAAATAAAACGGTACATATCTTTTTTATTATTACTATAAGAAGAACAGCAAGCACTCAACAGGCATTGAATGCCTTTTTATTTTACGGTGCAAATCACTTATCATGAGACATTCATTTCACCAGCATATGTATGCCTACAACGAACGATGCTGAACGTATACTTTCCACGTTTTGCTGATAAATGGCAGATATACCTTCACCTTAAAAGTCCAAGTTAATTGCTTTGTGAATTGGAATACTTACTTTGTTTTTATCGAAATACGAGTACAGCCTTGATGATTGCCAATAATGGAGAGAGTGGAACCTCGAATGACACCAACAGAGGGAAGCCGCAACCCGCCTAGTACATCCATCACAAAGGGAAGTAATGCCCGTGTCCCACTAAAGCGACAGACAGAAACAAACGACAGCAACAAGCCTCAAACCAGAGTCTTTCGCGATTTGGGAGGCTGTGTAGAATAAAAGAGGCTATGCTCAAACACGAGCATCATGCACGCGAGAGAATCTTTGGCAGACTTGCAATCGCTCGTGCTTACTTTACGAGCACCGAACTACTGAATACCTGCCAAAGGTACCATCGCGAGCATGCTGCATGGGTTTGAGGCCTCTCGCTGTCTTTTATTTCTGTCTGTCGCTCTAGTGGGACACGGGCATAAAAGTCCCTTAGCTAAAGGTACCTTTACGACCGTGTGAATGTGGTCCCACTAGAGCGACAAAGAAAAACAACCGACACGGACAAGCCTCACGTGCAGCATGAGCGCGCGAAGGTAGCTTTGGCAGGCTCGTAATCACTCGGACTCGTTTCACGAGCACCCAGAGACTGCAAGCCTGCCAATGTGTACCTCCACGTTCACGCTGCATGCATGGGCTTGACGCTTGTCGGTGTCGGTTGTTTCTCTTCGTCCCCCTAGAAGCCGCACTCACAGTGGCGTTTTTGAAGACTTCGTATATACGTATGCTTTGAACATGTCTGCAGACAGTTGTTTTGTATGGCCAGTGTGACCATCATACAAGGAAGAACCACGCTCCAGACAGTGTTTGCCGACTGCCTTTTGTGTGGTGTATAGTGAGCGCGGTTTTCGGGAATAAACACACACGTGACACAGAATTACCGCAGAGACAAGATTCACCTGTCCTGGTATCGACGGCCACAAAGAAGCCCTCCGGGTCCACCTGGTAGAAGATGCTCACGTTGTTCATGCCCTGCTCCAGACCCTGCTCCTTCCAGATGTCCACGGCCTGGCAGATTTCGTGGGGCCTCATGTCGCGGATCTGGAGCCAGTCCTCACCGCCGCCGCAGTCACCGTCTTGTTGAGCCATCGCGCCGAAAACTGCAAGCGCCCCGGGGCCCCGCCGCTTTTTTTGGGGGGGACCGCTGAGAAGAACGGGAGGGGAAGAGGAGCCGTGAGGCTTTTCCCCCACGGGGACGGCAGCCACCCAGCCAGCCTTGTCCGAGCATTCCGACGATCGATCTGGACCCGCGCTCTCTTACGGCACTCTCCCTCACAGCGGAGTGTGGTGTTTCTCTCATCCTTACTATCTCCTGTGCGAACGACCTATCGAAACCTCGATGACGGACGTCTGCTTGCCGACGTCTAAGTGGGGCTAGGACGAGGACGCAACGCGGGGCAGGCAAGAGCAGCAGCTCTTTATATGCTGAAGGTCGTGCACCTTGCCAGGGTAGCCAGAAAATGTTTAGGTGACTCGAGCAGGGCTGCACGGGGAGCGTGAGTGGGAATTTTGTGCAGGTGGCGCGATCGATCAACCTTATCGAGTGGAACGGTATACGGGCGGACACGCGGCCGTCGCGGCGTTGTGAAAAGGTTGGAAGCGGCCGCGTCTATCATCCCTCGCGCTGGGAGTAGGTGCTCTTCGAAAGTGCTGAGAATGATTGACATTGACGGGTTCAAGTATTGTTACCACAACAATTGCACTTAATTTCGATTGCAGGACTTTCGCTCGCGCACATAGAAAACAACAATAATAGTTGTACGAGAATGACGGTTCCGACACAATAAATACTACCCATGTTGCCATGTGAGCTGGCCAGTGGTGTCCAGGTAGGGGCGGTATAAAAGCCATGCGGAGAGACGCCAAAAAAAGGTGGGCATGGACGACCATATTTCCCATTATCGTAGTAGTATCGCAGTTGGGTTCATAGTTTTACATGTCGTAGGCATTCCGTGCGTCTTCTTACGAATTCCGGACTAACAGCGAAGTGCGCGAGCCTATATTGTCGCTGAATGCACATAACAATGGCATGCACGTAAAAAAAAAAAAGAAGGCAGAGGTTAATAATCTTATACAGACTGCACTTTCACAATCTCCGGAATGTTAACGCAACGCGCGGACGCCCTTCTCCTACTGTATTTCCGTCCCGTGGGAGCGGTGATCGCGGAATTCGAGCTCACGTGCGCGCAGCGGCAATGATCTAGACAGCGCGAGTGCACGCGCTCCTGCATACCTCTTCGCAGCAAATCGACCGGTGACCCTTTTAAGAGCAATCGGAGCAATGACAACCCACCTTGTTGCACGTGGTCCTTCGTCACTCGAAGCGCTGTGGGAGGAACACGTGATCTCCTTCGCGTGTTTGGAAGAAGTCCCGCGCAGGTGCGGAATACGTCGATAGAAATTACGGGAGCAAAAACCGGCCTGGCCTGCGTCCCGGAGAGCAGAAGCAATGAGCGGGCTGCTATGGCAAAACGTTTCCCCCGGACGGATGCGCCGATGATGACCCGCGGTCGCCGCGAGTGAAAGGCGCCAAGTCGTCTCGGTTTTTGGCTGCCGTCGCTAACGCCGGGAGTCGGGGGTCGCCGGCGAGCGGCGCGGATCTCTGGGCGAGGGAGTGTGCTAGCACGCATGCGCCGCAATTGAAGTCCTCGGGGAGAGAGAGCCCCATGCTCTCTCTCTCCCCTAGGAACGGGAGGAAAGTCCAATAGACGAGTCTTATTTCTTTTTTATCGGTTTTACGTATGGGGCTTAATTTCATTCGTTGACTTGATTTCGTCTTTCTCTTTGCGTGGACGCTCGCGAATGTAGACATCAAATAGAGTATGTTTGGTCTCGAAGTAGACGACCGATGAAGATGGATTCTGCGCGAAAACATTACATGAGGACAGGACGGCAAGATGAAGCCGAAAGGAGGAAATGGTGACGGATCGTTCGCGTTTTCTTCGGGCAACGTCTTTATATACGAATAAAGAAGGGCCGAATTTGAATCGTATACGTTCCTGCGCGTAGAAACGTATACTTGGTCGTTTCTATGTCCACATTGTTTCCTCGTTGGCATACTCGAGCTTTCGCGTCTACTTTCGGCAAACACCTAGCACGCGCACGCGCGCATTGTGTGCGCGTCCGCGCGTCCGCGCGCTTGCGTGAATGTGTATGTGCGTGGGCACACGCAAACGCCAGCGTACAAAAGCCTTACCTTACCCACGCAAGGGTTTACATAAAAGATCCGCGGCGTTGACGCTTCATTTTACCCCCTATTACACGTATAACTTAAAACAAATTACTTACGTACATACTAATTTACGTTTACATAGCAAACAAATCATGCCACCTAGATACAATGTTCATAAAACAATTTAATTACGAGGTGGTCATAAAACATAGATACATCGCAACGACGGTCGAGGTTTCAAAAGATTAAAAGAAATGCCACAGCATTCGTTGTAAACGCAATTCGGTGTCACCGAGAAACCAAACGTCGCCCAATGTGGCTCGACGAGACAAACTTGTTCAAAAGCCTTCGAACTTAAGGCCTTTAAAAATATGCCACTCAGATTGAGATGCCGACTTTGTGTCGGGATCGCAGTCGGCGTGCGATCCTTTGCCGTGCGCCGGTTCGCCGATTCTAAATAGGCCCTCAATGTGAAGATCTTTGAAAGTCGTTAATATTACACGGACAATAGGGGGTATGCCCGAAACAGTATGTTCTTAATGCCTGGTCGTAAAGTTTCATGTCCTACGCTCTAACCGCCATTCAGAAAGTTTAAAATACGTCCCCCATTATTCTATCTCGCACCCGACGTGTTTCCCAACCTCCTTTTCACCGCACAGTGGAAGGAGCGTTTGCAATTTCACGCGCCACTGACTTCAAGCGCGGTAACCTTTTGAGACAGTGACCGGCGAACACGGGTATAGAAAACGTAAGCCGAAGAACAATGGACCTCGGCGGGTTGGAGCCGATCGGCGTTGATATTTTGCTATAGGTTAAACTAGCCGAGAAACTTTCTGGAGCAGGTGCTATGCTATGCCGCGTGTCCGCGTGTTTCGAAAGTGCACCAGAGTTCGACAGCGTAATCCACATAAACGGATGCTCGCTTCAGCGCTGAGACAGGTTCACGCATTTATGGAGCATGTCCTCAAGAGAAAGGTGTCTGTCTGCTTGCTGCGATGAAATATTTCGTGAAAATATAACGCCTTGTCTTAGCACATTTTTTCGTAATTTAACGAAATTTTAGAAAGATAGAAAGAAACGATCTCTAATAATTTGACATTTGGTCGAGCTATAGTCTGCATGCAACTTTATACAATCTTCGCACAACAAGTTGGAAAGTGCAATCAAGCTGGCATTTTCAAATTAGGTCTTCTTGGCTGGATCGTCGCCACCTGGCACGTCATGTCTCGCATCTATTTTTCACCCCCCCCCCCCCCCAAAAAAAAAAAATGTAAATAGCTTAAAACAAACAAGCTGACAATTATGAGAAAACTTAAATTAAATGTACAGGAATTTCACAAGTTCGCGAGAAAAGAGAACCGTGTTTTTCGTCCTTGGGAAATTAACTATGCACAGCAGAAAGCTCAAACTTCGTGAGAATGTGACGCTAATAGTTTGGATAGAAAATGAAAGATTGAGAGCATGAAGTTGCCTGGATCAAAAGATAATTAAGAAAGACCATATTTCTTTAAAAGCCCATGTTCACCTAATCCTAATATCGCCAAAATAAAAACTAACATTGTGGACGCTTTTAAAATTTATTTCAGTGTAAAAAAAAATAACACTTGTCAGCAGAAAGAGGATATTGTTTTCATTCTTGCTGGCCACTTTTTTCTCCACTAGAATAGATGCTAAAGGCGCTCACTATATAATTTTTGGTTGATGAATATTAGGATTAGGTAGAAGTCAGCTCATGCAGAAATTTCGTTTTTGTCAATTATCTTTCATGATGTCCTATTCTCAAACTTTCGCGATCTATCCCAACGGCTAGCGTCACATTGTCCCTTAGATTAAGCTTTCTGCGACGCATAGTTTTTTTACCCGTGTCGAAAAACACGGTTCTCTTTTTCACGAACTCCCTGTATAACTTAGACGGTAGAATCTCTAAAAAAAAAACCATGTCACTTTGGAACGTTTGGAGGCTTTGACTTGGCTTTACGGGTGATCCTGGGCACCTAAGATCAAACGAACCTCTTGAACATGGTAGCCAGTAAGGAATAAAACTCGGTATATAAACAGCTATGTTTTCTCAATACAGAACTTCCTTTCCCCCTACAAAGCGTTCGTAACCCGAGTTTTCAATAATAACTAAACAAAATGCATCTGTATACCCAGATCGTACCCAAAAATGTTTTTGATATAGCGGGGTATTCGTAGTAACGGGGGCCATATAAACAAAACGCGACAGAATTGATATTTCTACATAGACGCGTCTCGCACAACGTATAACCATCGTGTGACAGAAACTTCTGTGTAAAGCTGCGATCACACCACTACATTACACAAAACAGTCTGAAGATACTACAGATTGTCTGTGGCCCGTTTCCTTCTTGTTTAGACCGATATCTACCCATCTGACTATCTCTTCTATTGAGCCCAAGAGAGGGGACCAATCTTTGACTGACACGAGCCACGGCAGGGCTAGAATGAAAGGGCGCACTGGCTAGCCCCGCCGTGCAGCACGAGCGAAGTCACCAGCTCGACACTTCCGACAAGCCAGCGCGAACGCCGATGGAGCAGCAGGACGCAACCACAGCCGCGAAACGGGCGGACGCGGGCTTGGCAATGAATTTCGCCTTGGTGGCTTCCCGCGCCCTCTCCTAATGAGATTGCACGAGCTTCCGTGCACAGTGGACACTGCCGAGGAGTGGGGTACGGAGACGCTCACTGCGCCATTTTGAAGGCTGCTTAGTTCGTTGCGCGTGCTTGTAACGGCTCATGACTAGAGATTATACGGACGCCATCTATTCAGGTCGACCCGCAACCTTTTCTGATCTGCGTATAACTATAGACTGGAGGTCCCGCCGCATTTGAGGAATCAAATCTATGAACCGTTTAGAGATTTTTCAAACTGCAGTCTCGAACGAAGCGATTTACAGCGCGCGTCCCTGGTTTAGAAAGTGTACGTCAGTGTTGCTCGATTGCGCTGGGCTGTGTGTTTTCTCGTCAGTGGGCTGTCGCAGCCTGCGTACGCGCGATTCAGAACTCTTGTAACGGCGAAATTGCCGCGTTTTATTTTTTCTTTTCTATTCTTTGGCTAATAGAATTTCTCGAGGTTTTTAAGAAAGCACTGTACTGTTTCGTAGAATAAAAACAAACAAATAGAAGCTATGTTTTGGTGAGTTTGGCCGTGACCGAACAAATAGAACTGGAATGCTTGTTTCACTTTACGTTGATTTTTTTCCGGCACCATACACTCAATAGTGCCAATCTACAAAAGTCTTATCAGTCAAAAATAATGTACCGGACAGGATAGCCAATATGCATGTGTATTTCCCACTCACAGCATTAAATTCAACGAGTCTCATCAATCACACAACATGTAGTGTACGTACCCCACAGTGCCGCGTTATGCGAGCAGAATTTGAGAAAGGTCTCCAACAACACTGCATGTACAGTGTCGACGACAGTCGCTTCACGACGATCCGACAGAATCAAGGCTTGTTTTTGAGGCACGTTTTGAAGAGAGCTTCTTTTTTGCACAGCACCAAAGCAAATGAAGCCACGTGTCTCCGTCCCCATTCCCCTGACCCGACCCCATCAGCTATTTTTTTGCGAAAGCCGGGAACATAGACGGGAAGGCTTTTCGGAGATTATCTCGACGGAAATAATACTCGAAGATTTATAACTTTTTGTCTACATATCTTGCATGCATTTTCTGTTTCTTTTTTTTTTTTTCTTTTTCTCTCTACCCTCGCAACCAGCACGAAGTCACTTGTCGTAATTTCAATGGGGTCTGTTTAGTGTGTTCGTTTCCGCCTTTTATATTACTGAGAACTCGGGGAGTAAAAAGTGGGCGTTATTCTTATACCTGGCACTCCAAAAATGTCGGCCTTTGCATGGAGCCGCTCCGGAATTTCGGTCTTGGCGGGTGATATGTAGAAAACACCGGTATTTAAAATGAAATACACTATAGCGTGTCTGTTTCAGTGTGTGAGATTTGTTTTATTTACACTTTGAAAACAAAACAGTGCACAGTCAATACGCAAAAACAGTACGATCTAACGTGATATTTCTTGTTTTTCCAATTTTCGTTTTTACTTATATACGATGTCTATATAGATGTCTAAACGTGTCTTTGGCACCACTTTTAAGCACCTCACTCCCCGAAGCGAATAATGATTTAGAAATTTAATCCGTTTTTGACGGCAGTCTATGAAGAGCTACCGCGTCACTTTTGGAGTGCTAATAAATCAAGTTTAGGCGCTACTTCATTTACTGTCGTCATTTAAGTTTTCCTTGACTGCGGTGGGGACATTGTGAATTTTGAGGTTGAGGCGGCTGCTACGCCATTCGAAATCGTTAAAGTCTTATTTCAATGCTTCTGATCATTTTCAGTGATCCGTC